TCTCTCTCTGTCTCTCATGAATAAATAAATAAGATCTTTTAAAAAAATCTGAAATTAACAAATGTAATACACCATATTAATAAAGAACCAAAACCACATGATCATCTCAATAGATGCAGAAAAAGCATTTGACAAACTCTCTCTTTCATGATAAAAACATTCAACAAATTAGATATAGAAGAGAAGTTCCTCAACCTAATGAGAGGCATCTACATAAAACACAAAGCTGATATACTTAATGGTGAAAGACTGATGTATCCCTCTTAAGATCAGGAACAAAGCAAGGCTATCTGTTTTCACTACTTCTAGTCAACATTAGTCTAAGAGGGTCTAGCCAGGGCAATTAAGCAAGAAAAAGAAGTTAAAGGCATCCAGATTGGAAAAGAAGCAAAATTATTTTTCATTCAGAAATCATATGATCTTGTATATAAAAATCCCAAGGAATCTACTAAAAACTATTAGAACTAGTAAACAAGTTAATCAAGATTGAACATACAAAAATCAATTGTACTTCTGTACCTAGAAATGAACAATCCAAAAATGTAAATTAAGAAAGCAATTCTACTTACTACAGCACCAAAAAGAATAAAATGCTTAGAAATGAATTTAACAAAAGAAATCCAAGATTTTTACACTGAAAAACCAAAACTTTGTTCAAGGGAATTAAAGCTGTAAATAATGGAGCAATATTCTACGTTCACAGACTCGAAGACCTAATATTGTTAAAATAGCAATAGCCAGGGGTACCTGGGTGGGTCAATCTGTTAAGTGTCTGACTCTTGTTTTTGGCTCAGGTCATGATCTCAGGGTCATGATCTCAAGGTCGTTAGACCGAGCCCATGTTGGGCTTTGCGCTTAGTGGGGAGTCTCCTTAGGATTCTCTCTCTCCTTCCCCTCTGCCTCCCCTCCCCAAGAAATTAATTAATTAATTAATAAGTTAATTATTAAAACCTTAACAATAAAAATAAAATGTCAGTGGCCACCAAATACATCTATAGATTTAAAATAATCCCTCTCAAAATCCTAGCTGGCATTTTTGTAGGAGTTGACAAACTGATTCTAAAATTCATATGGAAATGCCAGGGTTCCAGAATAACTGAAACAGTCTTAAAAAATAGGAACAAAGTTCGACTCATATTTTCTAGTTTCAAAACTTACTACAAAGCTATAGTAATCAGGATGCTGCGTTACTTGCATTAGGATAGACCTATAGATCAGTGGAATACAATTTAAAGTCCAGAAATAACCTATACCTTTATGGGCAATTGACTTTTGACAAATGTGCCAAGACAATTAAATGGGAGAAGAACAGTCTTTCTAACTGATGATGCTGGGAAACTGGATAGCCACATGTAAAAGTATAAAGTTAGAGCCCTACCTCACACAATACACAAAAATTAACTCAAAGTGGATAGGATATTCAAATGTAAGTGCTTAATCTATAAAATTCTTAGAAGATAATATAGGAATAAATCCTCATATCTTTGGGTTGGGTAATGGCTTCTTAGATACAACACCAAGAGCACGACCAAAAGAGAGAGAGGGAGAGAGAGAGAGATTGGATTTCATCAAAATTAAAATTTTTTGTGCTGCAAATAATACCATCAAGAAAGGGAAAAGATACCCCACAGAATGAGAGATACTATCTGTAAATCATTTATCGTTTTTTTTTTTTGTAAATCATTTATCTAATAAACGATGTATATATAGGATATATAAAGAATTCTAACACAGCCATAATTAAAAGAGTAATAACTCAATTAAAAATTGAAAAGGGGGGAATCCCTGGGTGGCTCAGTGGTTTAGTGCCTGCCTTCAGCCCAGGGCATGATCCTGGAGTCCCGGGATTGAGTTCCACATCAGGCTCCCTGCATGGAGCCTCCTTCTCCTCTGCTTGTATCTCTGCTTCTCTCTCTCTATGTCTCTCACGAACAAATAAAATCTTTAAAAAAAAATTGAAAAGGGATCTGATATAAATATTTCTCCAAGAAGATATGCAAATGTCCAATAAGCACATACAAAGGTCCTCAACATCAATGGTCATTAGAAAAATGAAAATCAAAACCACATTGAGAGTCCCACATTCACTAAGATGGCTACAATAAAAAAGATTATAATAAGGGTTGGCAAGGATGTGGAAAAATTAGAATCCTCATACACTGCTGGTGGGAATGTAAAATCATGCAGATCCTTGGGAAAAATCTTGCAAGTTATTCAAAATGTTAAATATAGAGTTACCATACAATCTAATAATTCCACTTTCAGGTTATATACCCAAGAGAAATGAAAACATGTATGCAGAAAATCTACCTACCAATGTTCAAAACATTATTAATTATAATAGCCAAAAAGTAGAAATAACCCAAATTTCCATTGATGATCTGATGAATGGTCAAAGAAAATATGAACTATTCAAGCCAAAAGAATCTTGAAAAAGAAAAACAAAACTGGAGTTATCACAATTCCAGACTTCAAGTTACCTTACAAAGTTGTAGTGATCCAAACAATATGTCACTGGCACAAAAATAGACACAGATCAATAGAACAGAATAGAAAACCCAGAAATAAATCAACAATTATATGGTTAATTAATCTTTGAAAAGCAGGAAAGAATATGCAATGGGAAAAAGTCTCTTCAACTAATGGTGCTGAGAAAACTAGACAGCTACAGGCAAAGAATGACCACTTTATTACATTATACATAAAAATAAACTCAAAATGGAATAAAAACCTAAATATAAGACCTGAAACCATAAAAATCCTAGAAAAGAGCACGGGCAGTAACCTCTCTGGCATTGGCCATAGCAACTTTTTCTAGATAGGTCTTCTAAGGCAAGGGAAACAAAAGCAAAACTATTGGGACTATATCAAAATAAAAAGCTTCTCCACAGTGAAGGAAACAATTAACACAACTAAAAAGCAGCCTGTGGAATAGAAGAAGATATTTGCAAATGACCTATCTGACAAAAGGTTAGTATCCAAAGTATATAAAGAACTTATTGGGACGCCTGGGTGGCTCCATGGTTTGGTGCCTGCCTTCAGCCCAGGGCATGATCCTGGAGTCCCGGGATCGAGTCCCACGTCGGGTTCCCTACATGGAGCCTGCTTCTGCCTAGGCCTGTGTCTCTGCCCCCTCCCCATGTCTCTCATGAATAAATAAATAAAATCTTAAAAAAAAGAACTTATCAAACTAAACACTCAGAAAACAAATAATCCAATTTAAAAATGGGCAGAAGAGGGATCCCTAGGTGGCGCAGCGGTTTGGCGCCTGCCTTTGGCCCAGGGCTCGATCCTGGAGACCCGGGATCGAATCCCACGTCGGGCTCCTGGTGCATGGAGCCTGCTTCTCCCTCTGCCTGTGTCTCTGCCTCTCTCTCCCTCTCTCTGTGTATCTCATGAATAAATAAAATATTTAAAAAAAAAATGGGCAGAAGACAAGAACAGACATTTCTCCAAAGAAGACATCCAGATGATGTTCAACATCACTCATCATCAGGGAAATGCAAATCAAAACCACAATGAGATATCAGCTCACACCTATCAGAATGGCTAAAATCAACAACACAAGAAACAATAAGCGTTGGCAAAGATGCAGAGAAAAAGGAACCCTCGTGCACCATTGCTGGGAGTGCAAACTGGAGCAGCCACTGTGGAAAACAGTATGGAAGTTCCTCAAAAAGTTAAAAATAGAAATACTTTATAATTCACCCATCACACTACCAGGTACCTACCCAAAGAATACAAGAACACTAATTCCAAGGGATACAAGCACCCCTAGTTTATAGCAGCATTATTTACAATGGCCAAGATACAGAAGCAACACAAGTGTCCACCGACTAGTGAATGGATAAAGAATAGTGGTATATATACACAATGCACAATTACCCAGTCCTAAAAAAGAATGAAATCTTGCCATTTGCAGTGACATGGATGGAACTAGAGAGCACAATGCTAAGTGAGGTAAGTCAGTCATAGAAAGACAAATACTCTATGATTTCACTCCTATGTGAAATTTAAGGAACAAAACAAATGAGCAAAGGAAAGAGGGAGAGGCAAACCAAGAAATAGACCCTTAACTACAGAGAACAAACTGATGGTTGCAAGAGGGGAGGGATGGGGGGGATGGATTAAATAGGTGATGGCGATTAAGGAATGTACTTGTCATGAGCACAGGATTGATGTTTGGAATTGTTCAATCACTGTATTGTATGCTAGGAGGAGGTGACTGGTGAGTGACTGCCAATGGGTTCAAGTTGTCTTTTAGGATCGCAAAAACGTTTAAAAACTAGATTATGATGATGGTTGCACAACTCTGTAAATATATTATTGGTGAATTGCGTATTTTAAATTGGGTCAACTTTGGGGTACCTGGGTGGCTCGGTGGTTGAGCCTCTGCTTTAGGCGCAGGTTGTGATTCTGTGGTCCTGGAGTCCCACATCAGGCTCCCCTCAGGGAGCCTGCTTCTCCCTCTGCCTATGTCTCTGCCTTTCTCTGTGTCTCTCATGAACAAATAAATAAAATCTTTAAAAAAGAAACACACAATAAACACATTAATTTTATAGTGAAAACTTCTCAAGAACATCATGTTAAATGGAGAAAAGGAAGATAAGCTATGGATGCCATCACATGGAGAGACACTCAACTCTTGTCACATATACTTCTAGGTAAAGAAACCAAGAGACAAGAGCACACAGGGCTGTTTGGGGGACAGGGAAGGCTGGGTGGATGTGGGGACCTTCATTTCTTTACATTCAGTTAGAGGCTGCCCGTGGACACTGATGGCTTTACCCATTTAAAGAACATATGAATTGAAAATTACTCCTCTTGGATTCAAATATGAATGCATTCACCCCTTGGTGTCTGAAACTAACCCTACTGTGTTTATACCCATGAGTAACCAATAAGTAGTTATCTTCCCTCTTGTGGCCACTCTTAATCACTCTGGACTGGTTCTACTTGGCTACCAGTACCAGCGCTCAGAATTCTTAGAGCATACACACCTTTGGTAAAGAGGCCTCAAGCACGTTGCCTTAGTTACTTGGTACTGGAAAAATCGAAGGTTCATACCACTGCACAGTTTGATGTAAGCTCCTCGATTGCTGCCTTCTTCATAATAATTAGAAGCAGAAAATACAGTGACAACCTGATTAAAGAAAAAGAGGGCCAGGGTCACGTAGTTAGTTCTCAAAAGGTCCTTCAATAAAGGCAGAGATAGCTCAATTACTAAAAAAGCAAAAATCAAAGAAGGTCCCAAATCCATACAAATTATCCAAGTCTGACAGGATTTTCTGTGATTCCATTAGAGAGCAGCAAGGCTTTTAAGTCCGTGTCCCTGGGAATGCTCGCTTGTACCCACTCAACCCCACAGTGGAAAGCCTTGCAATCCTGTGTACAATTTCAGTTCCATATCTCCGAATTCTACTTAATGCTTGGTTTTGCAAATTCTAATTTTCCAAGCGAGTAAAGCTTTTGTTTTCTTTCCTTGTGATATCTGAGTGTTCAAAATAAAACTTGTCTAGTATGCCTTTTTCTTTTGCTTAAAGCTGATTGGTGTAGAGGGCTTGGGGCCCTGCACAAAACCTGTCCTTTAAGGGGACAGAAAAAGGTGGCCAGAATACAGAGTGGCCCAGGACCACTCTGCTGGGAAGGAACCAGCCTTGAGGCCATGGTAGAAGATGGCAGGGTAACACTTGTTGACAGACAACCTGGCTTGGGCCCAGCTCTGCCCTCATCAGCCTGCTGCTTCAGACAAGCTATTTTCTCTGTTTTCTTAGTACAAAGAAACCTTAAATAATACTTGCCTTCACTATCTCACAGCATTAGCATGAGCTGAAAATGAACTAATGGAGTTAAGAAAAGCAAAAGTCTTGAAATAGAAAGAGATGCCACAAATTTGGTATTCTGTTTTATTTATTGCTCTTCTCTGGTAGAAAAGGGACATCCCAAGACAACTTGGAACAAGAAACCCATTCCTCCGCCCTCTTCCAGCCTTACCAGACACCACTGAAGGAGCACAACACACTCCATTCTAGTGGCTGCAGCTGAACTGACCACGGCAGGGACTCGCTAGAGCTCACCCACTCGTGAGTGGAAGGGAGGTGTGTTGTGTGGCTCTGCCCTGTACAGGGAAAGCACAAAAGGTCAAAGCGAACCGGATTCGCCGCTGCCTTTGGTGCTCTGTGAGAGCAAGTACATTCCTAACCACACTGTGCTGGAGAGTTGCCTTTCGATTCATACAGAAGGAAGGCTGTCTGTGGGTGTACTTAGAGCAACATGTCAGAATTTCTCTCTGGGATTAGGGAAGATCAGAGAAACAAGCCAAACATCTCTTAGGGTGAGGTACAGGGAGGCCCCTTCAAACAACCTGCCTGAACTCTGTCTACCAAAGCACCGCCTTCTGTTTTGGTCCTGGGGAAGACACCTTCCCATGGACCTTGGGTCAGACACATCCTGTGAAGAAAGACTGCTTGGGGCCAGGATGTGTGTGATGATGTCACCAACAATGTTAGCTTACCTTCCCATCATGGCAGATTTCATACCCTTCAGGCTTACATTCATGAGACCTAATGAGCATCTTCAACTGGTATTTATTAAGAACCTTGGAGGTAATATCAGGTCCAAAGTAGCAGCCCCCTCCTCGACTTGTGTTTGGGTAACAGCCTCTTTTGCCTCTGGGATCACTCCATAGAATATCGATAACCTTTGAACAACAGACCAGATTAGGCCACTATTTACAAGTGAGAGTCTGTCTTTCTAGATTCCAACTTATTTGCCAGAAATATTAACCCAAGTTATCCCAGAGTCTATTTCTTGTTCCTCCTTCAAACTTGTTTCAGACTCATCTCCTCCATGAATTTTTTCCACAATAATTGTCATGCCCACAGCCACCACAGTCCCTCTCTGCCTCATCCTCAATAACCAGTATAGCGGTACTTTGTAATCATGAAGAATAAGCCCTTGCCTTTGTCTGTCTTTAAAAATCTCGTCATGATCAGTTCACAATTGCTGAATCTGCCAAGGTGTTTTCTCTTAAAAGAACTTCATTGTCATGTTCTAAGGAGAAAGCAACTCCCCACAAGGGACACACATTAGAGGTTTGTAATATGTTCAAAGAGATAAGGTAGGTCTCCCAGCTGTGGCTTTGGCCCTGGTTTTTGTCCTCTTGGAGCAGATGGCATGAGGAAGACTTTTCCCACCACAAATATAGACAAGCATTCGTCCAAGAATATTTCCTAAGTCATCTCCTTCCCTTTTTGTCCCATTGATAAGAACATTCTCAGCTTCAGCAATACATTTAGCCACTGACTGGTTTCCAAAATGTGTCCTCCTGTATCCATAAGTATCTTGGATTTAGGGGCTGAAAGAGGTAAATGCAGGCTACATGATGCCCAAGACTGAAGATTCAAGTTTCTAAGAATATTTTTCATCACTCTGATCCACATATCATGTTTCTTTATTTAAACTCCTATAGGAGTTTAAGCAGTAGTGAGAAAAACTAGCTTTGTCACTAAAGCTGTGCAGCCTCAAGAAAACCTGGGTCTCAGTTTCCAGATCTTTAAAATCAGGGGTTTGGGCCAGATGACTTGTAAAATATCTCAAAATTCTAACAGACTATGATTTTCACAGTCTGTATTTTCCATGTTTTTGTTCTGCAGGCTTGACGGATCATACATTTTAAGTTCTGCAGTTATTCAAGCAGGTCCAAGTCGGGACTTAACAAGAGGACCAGAAATGGTTGTCCCAGTAAACTGGACAATGCACTCATTTATAGGTTTGGTATTGAAGGGGAGTTAGAAATAAGTGAGGAAGAAGACAGCGAGGTGGAGAGAAGAACAGAACTGGTAGGAGAACTCTGTAATGTTTAGCACCTGGTCCGAACTTATGGCAACACTCCATCAGGCACAAACCAGACACCTGCAGAGTTTTTGATGATTGATTGCAGTGAGAGTGAAAACCACCCAAAGAAGATTCAGACCAGGGTTCTCCTTTCTCCCCCACTGAATTCCAACATAGGCACAATCCTACCCTACAAACAAATACAATGAAGCCCATTTATCTTGTTGGTGTTTATGACAAAACCAACATTTGCATTGTCATATCTGGCTCTTACACTATGAATTCATGTGATTTGACCTTTAGTATAATGAAGGCAGAAACACAAGGAATTGTGTTGTATAAGGAGGGGATTAAGTTTTAAATTCTCACATGAGATGCAAGTCGTTTATAGCCAAAATTACCCTTAATGTACACTATACGTGATTTTGTATATACAATCCTATACAATAATATGGATGTGTTAATATTTTATATATGTGATAATGTATAATGGGATAAATAACTTCTATGGAAATAAATTTTTACATACTTTTCTTTTTACCATATACATATAGTTGAAACTTATATAAATTAAATGTATATATAATGGACTCTTGGACTAGAATAAGCACTGACCAAGGAGTTAGTTCTTCAAGTGTCACCTGTATCATGTTGGGCAAATCATTTAACCTATTTGCGCTTAAGTTGGCTCATCAATGAAATAAGAAAGATATATCTAACATTCATTTTTCTATGATTCAAAGTCAAAGGGGGTATGAGTCTTATAGAAATGAATGTCTTCAGAATTATCCATTCCATGAATTTGCATTTCTTCTTTCTGTCTAGAATTCAGTCACTTGACTAGGTTTACCCAGACTGTGGCTATAATATAGATTTGTTGTTGAAACAGATTCCTCAGCAAAGACAGTTTCTTTCCTTCCAACAATGTCCTCTCCTCTGAAAAGCAAGGGCCTTGTGAGTGGTAAGTGCATGAAAGAATAGTTATTTATAATATTCCTTCCTGAAAATGTTCTAATCAAAAATTGGAAAAGTTTTACTGAATGACAGTTTTTACATGACCTGGTGAACAAAAATCTGTTTGTGTCTCAGCGTTTAAACCTTCCAAATCTAAAATAAATCCAGCAGAAGTGCCCTGTGCTTGTCTGCAACTCTAAATAATCCAGTTCCCAAAAGTATGCTTTGTGGGAGAGTTAATAGCTCTGAAAGGTGTATCTAAATGCTTCTCTTTTAAGACACTAATCCTATAGATTCACTATTCCTTTGTATTTTCCCTTAGTCATGTGTCTTCCTTCCAGCTTTTGAACAAGTTGTTTTAAAAGCTGTGCTTAACCCAAACCTTCCAGTAATACTTAAATTGCTTTAGAGGCCTACTCCTTGTTTGCCCATTGCCTCACTGGATGAGGAGAAACTAGAGCAGTTCATTTCCTTCTTGAGACCCCCTATCACTCTGAAGCCATCTTTCCCTTCAGTAAAGGAGCATGGACATTAAAGTCATACCAGGCATCACATCCTGCTCTATCACTCAGTGACTAGCCAAGTGACTACAAACAAGCCATTGCCCTCTTGGGAGCCTGCACAATGAGGCTGACTACCCTATTTAAAATTACAACTCTGTCCTCTACCTCCAGTTCTCCTGATACTCATAACCTTGTTCTAGTTTTAATTTTTTTCCATAGAACTCTCCACTTAACATATTATATAATTTACTTGCTTATTGTTATACTATTTAACTCCTCCCCCTAGAATGTAAGCTTCATGAGGTAATAGATCTTTAGTCACTGGCATTCTCAAAAGTCTAGAATAGTGACTGACACATAGCAGATGTTCAATAAATACTTGTTAAATGAATGAATTAAGAGAAGGGAGTCACTCAGGAAATAAATTATTCAAATTATTTTTTAAACCTCTCTGGTCTTCCTGTTGCAAGTCTGTCCTAAAAGAAGGGTATCACCCTTGTCTCTATATAGTGACTTAGCTATGAGTACATATATCCCCCACATCTCAGTGATAAAATAAAACTTAAATTATAGCACTAGGCCAAGAATGATGCACTTCTGTGAGTATGGGACAAATAAAGAGCCTACGACCTTTATTATAACATAGCTCATAGATATTGAGAAATAAAGTATGAAATCTGGTGTTATCTGGAAATTTCAACTCTAACTAACTAAAGTATGCATACCCACTTAGTACCGGCAACTGAGAGAAGAAAATTAAGGATACAACTGAAATTACTAAAATATTGGGAATGAAATTCTGGTCCATTTTACCTGTGTCAGCTCCAGTCATGTGCACGGAGTCTGCAAGATGCCTCATCTCTATTGTTGGGTGGTGAGAAGTTCTAGTACAGAATAATGACTGCCAGTCTCCTCCTCCCACTTCTTAAGGCTCCATCTCTCCAGAATTCTAACTTATCTAGGCTTCCAGTGGCCAGAATTTTCTTTTTGTGCAACTCCAATCTCTTTGGCATCATCCTTTTTATTCACCATAACCCTAGCAGTGCTTGTTCTAACCTTTGGTCTTTGGAGTTTGGATGTCAGAATTTAAGGAGGCATCCTTTCCTACTTGCTATAGGTTGTCTCTTGTACCTTCTTAATTTTTAAATACTTTAGATGCACAAGCCATTGATGAATTCTATTTCTCTCTTACTGCCCCTTCTCCTTCCCTCTCTATCCCCCCCCCACCTCTCTCTGTCTTTCTCCTCAATGATTAGAGGATATTTTACAACAGAAATCACATTTTAGTCAACATTTTCAGCAGCCAAGGTATGAGTACAGAGTCAAGAAATCACCAAGAGGCTTCTTGGAAGTAAGCAATTAGAAGAAAGCTGATGGTTCTATGATACTATTAGCTCAAGTAGACTGGATGAAAGTTTCACAAAATCAGGGAAAGAGGCAGATGAGCAGAGCCCTCCTAGGGCCAGAATAAGCCTCAAAGATTGTCATACCCTGCCCCTGCAGAAGAGACTGACTTTAGACTTTAATGGGATCAGATCGGGAGCTATTTGTGAGCCCTAGGGCATTGTTAAGAACAATAGCACAATCAGCTAGCAATTGAAGGCTAACAACAGTATATTACTTAAAATGCCCAGCTTTCAACAAAAATGTTACAAGACATGCAAAGAAAAAAATACACAGGAAAAACAAGCAGGCAATAAAAATTGCCTTTGAGGGGATTAGATGTTGACTTAGCAGACAAAGATTTCAAAGCAACTATTATAAATATATTCAAAGACAGAGATATATGTGTGTGTGTATGTGCGTGTGTAAATATATATATACACATATGTATGTATATATAAAACATTCCATTCAGCTGGAATGGAATACATTTTCTTCTTAAGAGCACATGGAGCATTCTCCAAGATAGACCATACACTGCCCATTTAAAAGAGCCTCACTATGTTTTAAAGGGATTTAAATCATATAAAGTGTGTTCTCCAACCAAAATTGAATTTAAGCAGAAATCAATGCAAGAAAGAAATATGAGAAATTCACAAATATGCAGAAATTAAATAACATGCTGCTAAATAATATATGGGTTGAAGAAGAAACCACAAGGGAAACTAGAAAATACTTTGAGATGAATGGAAATGAAAGCACAACAGCAAAACTTACAGGATGAGCTATAGTAGTAGTTACAGGGAAATGTATAGCCTCCTTATAAAAGGCAAGAGATCTCAAATCAATGACATTACCTTTCACCTTAGGAAACTAGAAAAAGAAGAGCAAACTAAATCTAAAGCAAGCAGAAAGAAGGAAATAATAAAAATTTGAGCAGAAGTAAATGAAGGAGAGAACAGAAAATAATAAAGGAAGTCAATAAAACCAAAAATCGGTTCTTTGAAATGATCAATAAAATTGACAAACCTTAATGAGACTAAGAAAAAAAGAGACTCAAATTACTAAAATTAGGAATGAAAGATTAGACTGCACTACTGACTTTTTATATATTTAAATATATATATATACATATACACGCAATATATATACATATTATATATATATGGCAACTGTAGGTATAACAAATTAGATAAATTAGATGAAATGAACAAATTCCAAGGAAGAGAAACTATCAGGACTACCGAGATACAAACTACTCAAGAAGAAATAAAAAATCTAAATAAAACTATAGCAAGAAAAAAGATTGAATTAGTGATTTTTAAAATTCCTACAAAGAAAAGCCCAGACTCAGATCATTTCACTGATGAATTCTATCAAACATACGAATAAAAATTATTAATCCTCACAAACTTCTCCAAAAAACAGAAGAGGATCACGCCCTGGGCGGAAGGCAGGCACCTAACTGTTTAGCCACCCAGGGATCCCCTGTTCTGTATTTTTTTTTTTTTTTGTGATATCTTTGGTATTAGCATAAGACTGGCTTCATAGGACCAGTTGGGAAGCATTAGCTCAGCTGGGAGCCTACTTTTCCCTCTTCCACTCCCCCTACTTGTGCTCTCTCTCTTTCTGACAAATAAATAAAATCTTTTAAAAAAGTCTAGAAATAAACCTTCATATTTATAGTCAGTTGATTTTTGATAAAAGTGCCAAGAAAATTCAATGAGAATAGTCTTTTAAACAAATGATATTGGGATAACTGGATATCCACATGTAAAAGAATAAAGCTAGACCCCTACCTCCCACCATACACAAAAATTAACTCAAAATGGATTACCCAAATATAACTGCTTAATCTATAAAATTCTTAGAAGAAAATATAGGAATAAATCCTCATGACTTTGGGTTAGGCAATGACTTTTTTTTTTTTAAGATTTTATTCATGTATTCATGAGAGACACACAGAAAGAGGCAGAGACAGAGGGAGGAGCAGGCTCCTCACAGGGAGCCCCAATGTGGGGACTCTATCCCCGGACCTGGAATCAGGCCCTGAGCCAAAGGCAAATGCTCAACCGCTGAGCCACCCAGGCATCCCTAGGCAATGACTTTTAGACACAACACCAAAAGCACAAGCAGAAAAGAAAAAAAATAGATATTAGATTTCATCAAAATTAAAAACTTTTGTGCTGCAAATAATACCATCAAGAGAGGGAAAAGATAGCCCACAGAATACGAAAGAATGTATCTGCAAATAATATATCTGATAAGGAATTTATATCTAGAATATATGAAGAACTCTTACAATGCAATAATAAAAAGATAATCAACTCAGTTTTTAAAATGAGCAAAGGATCTGAATAGATATTTCTCCAAAGACATACAGATGGCCAATTAGCACATGAAAAGATGCTCAACATCATTAATCATTAGAGAAATGCCAAAACCACAACAAATCAAAACCATAATGAGATTCCACCTCACACCCACCAGGATAGCCATAATCAAAAGGAGAGACAATTTCTTAGTGAGGATGTGAAGAAACTGTAACCTTCATACATTGGTAATAGAAATGTAAAATGTGTAGCCACTTGGGAAAACAGTTTGGAAGTTTCTCAAAATGTTCAGCTTAGAATATCTTACAACCAAGCAATTCCACTCCTAGGTATATACCAAAGAGAAATGAGAACATATGTCCACAGAAAAACTTGTATGTGAATGTTTATGGCAACATCATTCATAATAGCAAAGAAGCAGAAACAACTCAAATGTCTACCCACTGATAAATGAACAAACAAAATGTGGTATACCCAAACAATAGAATATTATTTAGCAATAAAAAGAAACAAAGTTCTGATACATCCCACGACATGGATGAACCTCAACATTGGGCTGAGGAAAAGAAGCCAGATACAAAAGATCACATATGGTATGGGTCCATTTCTTTTCTTTCTTTTTTTTTTAAAAAGATTTTATTTATTTATTCATGAGAGACACACAGAGAGAAAGAGAGAGAGAGAGAGGCAGAGACACAGGCAGAGGGAGAAGCAGGCTCCATGCAGGGAGCCCGATGTGGGACTCGATCCTGGGACTCCAGGATCACACCCTGGCTGAAGGTGGCACTAAACCACTGAGCCACCCAGGCTGCCCAGAATGAGTCCATTTCTATAACATGTCTAGAATAGGGAAATCTGTAAAGACCAAAGGTAGTTTAGTGGTTGCCTAAGTCTAGGGAAGCGGGTGGTTGGGGAGGGAATGGGGAGTGATACAACACTGTGAATATACCAAAACCATTGAATTATATGCTTTAAATGAAGGATTACATCTCAGTGGAGCTCTTAAAAGTATAGTGATGAATTCAGAAAGAAGAGTATGATCTGCTTAAAAAAGCAAGTCACTTTTTATGTATATAAGGGACAATATCATCTATGGTGCATGTTCATTGCCACTTTGGTGAACACTCTGATTACCTACCTGCTCCCATTCATGCTTTGTTAACTGTTCAGAAAGGGATCCATTTGTTTTGACTTCCCGAGGTATAATAGTTGTATTTATCTTATTTTTCTTCAAGTCATTATCGTGGTCTTCATCTAAGGGAATTGGTGACATCAGCACAGATTTCATCTATAAAACAAATTCACGCTGTAGCTAAACTCTTATGTTTCATGCGCTGCATGCAGAAACTTCCCTGCCATTTGCCACTCTGTCCATGTAGCCATGCCTCAACCTGATGAAGAATACATGTTTTTCAAGGCCACTTGGGATCAGGATACTTTGCCCAGCTTCCCCCTCAAGTACCACAGCACCATTTTCTCCTTAGGAGCCCTGCCAGCCAGCCATTCTCACATCCCTTGCCGGAGAGTTTAAATAATACTAAACCAGAGTCTTAGTCTTCTAGAATCTTCCTTCTCTTTCCCTCTGCAATGACAACTCCCCAACCTTACAAAATGTCTTTAATGAAAAACTAAAATAAATAAAACAAAACAAAATGCCTTTAATGAAACTAGAAGGAAGTCGTCATCAGGTTCCTCCAACCCCACTCCCCGCCCCCATTAACAATCATACCATAACAGCAGGTATAAACCAGGAAGCATGGTCATCCCTACACTTAGAGGGTCCTAAGGGATGGGAAAGTGGAGAAAGTGGGAAAGTTATAAAATTGGACTTGAAAATCTTTTTTTTTCTTTTGAAAATCTTCTTCTATTCTATTTATTTACTTACTTACTTACTTGAGAGAGCAAGTGCAAGCAGGGAGGAGGGCAGAGGGAGAGGGAGGAGCAGACTCCCTGCTGAGTAGGGAGCCCCTGGGACTCTGGGATTGTGACCCAAGCTGAAGGCAGACACCCAACCAACTGAGCCACCTAAACACCTCGAAAATTTACTTTTATTTTTCATTTGGTAGAGTTCCAAAGGATTAAACCTTTGCTACAGTTCAATTATATTTAATACAACAAATATGTGCTACCAATTTAACTTCACTCTGGGAGGGAGAGAAGACACAGAAAGTACACAAGTCAAATTTCTATCTTTAAAACCAGGCTTCTGAGTAGGTGGAACGATGATCCCAAAAGGGGGTGAAATTTGAGGTTTCCTGGGAAAATTCCTGGCCCAAAACTTCTCCCCAGGGGGTGTCTTAGTGACTAAAATTCAAACTTCAGGGATGCCTGGGTGACTCACTGGTTGAGTGCCTACCTTCGGCTTGGGGTGTGATACTCAGAGTCTCGATTCAGGCTCCCTGCAGGGAACCTGCTTCTCCCTCTGCCTGTGTCTCTACCTCTCTCTGTGTGTCTCTCATGAATAAATAAATAAAAGCTTTAAAAATAAAATAAAATTCAAACTTTAGTTCCAAGTATCAGGAAAGAGGAAAGAGTTGGAGGAGAGAGCTCCATGTTCTGAGCTTACTCTCTGCTGTTTTCTCCACCCAGGTAATTATATTTAAACCTCCTAACAATTCATTATGGTGGGTATTTTTAGCTTTCATGCACAGGTGCAGAAACTGAGGCTTAGAAAACTTTAGTACCTTGCCCAGTCACCCAGCCAGGAAGTGGCAGAAGTAGAAAGTAAAGCTGGCTGTGTCTGTCCAATGACAGAGCCTCGTGGAGTTTACTAGGTCAAGGTGGCTCTCACCTTTTGGTCTCCACAGAGATAGTGATGAACATTCTGGAGACATGAACTTTTTTTTTTTTTTTTTGAGTAGGCTCCATGCCCAGCATGGAACCCAACACAGGGCTTGAACTCAGGACACAGATCAAGACCTGGGCTGAGACCAAGAGTCAGACGCTTACCTGACTGAGCCACCCAGGCACTCCAAGACATGCTCTTAATATCTCAAAAAGCTCTAGAGAGGGCTGGGTGCTCCGGCTCACTTCAGAAAAGGAAAGTTTTCAATCTGATCAATTGGTAGTGGCTGTCATGGCTGATTAGCGCTGTTGTCACAGGGTGGGTGATGGTAGAGTGTAGTGTTCCTGCCATGTGCTTGCCAATATTTGACTGACAAAAACATCATGTTCCCTTGCTCTTGGCTAGAATCACATCCACTTGTTATGTTAACACTGACTATCTTGTGTTGATCAAAATGTTTTACTGGCTTGACTATTTGCTGATATCATGAAAAAGGTGCCATAGCACCCTGCCTTAAAGGTAGGGTGACCTTAAAATTTATTGCAATAGGAGCACTTCTGAGAGTAAAGGGAGGCACTATTAATAAATACACCAGGACAACAGGTGCAAGCCAGGAGAGATGGTCATGGTTGGGTGAGGTTGGGGAGGAGATATGTAAAATTACCACAGAATCGGGAAAGGGCTTGTAAAGAAGTTTCTATCCAGTTTTGTCTTAGGTCTTCCCTGCTTTGGTCTTAAATCTCTTAGGAGGTATCCAACCAACACTGATGAAGTATTTACTACATCTTAGATGCTGGAGTTAAAGCAGTGAATTAGAGAAGCAGGGGAGGATAGTAAACAGTACCCCAATTCTTTACTCAATGCTGGTAACTGTTACGTAGGACCTGTACAAGGAGCTTGAGAGCATATAGAAGGGGACCTGATCTAGTCTGGAGGTCATGGAAGGCTTTCCAGAGGAAGGGTACATTTAAGCTGATATTAAAAGGAGGAAAAGTTAGCAATAATACCATCTTTCATATGTAAAGATATAAGGGCTCCAAACATGAGGTGAAAAGGAGTCACATTTCTGTCTGTATCAAAATGATTTCCAGCTCTAAACTCTACTTGCTGAGATTGGTTGGACTATCAGTCTTGAGGGGTAAGGGTTCAGGTTTCTCACTAGGGCTGTATGTGATCATCTGGTTCCAGAGCTGCTATTGGTCTTTGTGCTCACATGGGATCTCCTATGCCCCCGGTCTGGGGGCTTTGGCTGGGCTCTGGTACAGGATGAAAGATAATTCCAGTCACTCTGCAAGGCCCAGCCAAAGGAGCCCTTTACTAAGTGTGGGAGCTTTATAGGCCACACACAGCCTCTTTCCTGAGCCATTCTGTACAGGTTCTTGCTCTGCTTCTGTTGTACTCAATATGATTCTCAGTTTAAACTATTTCCCCCTCAAAATACCCTGAGCCATTGGAGTATAAGAGAAGACATATCAATCCAGAAATAAATTGCTATACGATTCCATCTATATGAGGCACCCAAAGTTGTCAAATTCAGAGACAGAAAGTAGAATGGTGGTCAGCAGGGGCTAGGGAGAGGGGAGAGTGGAGAGTTGTTGCTTAATGGGTAGAGTTTCTTCCCAAAGATGAAAAGTTCTGGAGGTGGATAGTGGGGGTGGCTGCATGACAGTGTGAATGCACTTAATGCCACTGAACTGTACACTTAAAAACGGTTAAAGTGATAAATTTTATGTTATGGATATTTTACTGCAATATTAATTAGAAATTTTAGTTTTTAAAAATCAGCATCTTTCACTTTTAGAAACTATATGAAATGCCAACATTTCCTCATTTTCCACTTTCATCGTGAAAAGTCTATTTTCCATATTTAGAGGTTATCCATTCAGTTCTTTATCTTGCAATCATAGGTTTTCTTAAAATGTGTACTAACTTTTGCAGTTACAACTAAATGCAAATGAATACAAAATAATGAATGAAAGAGGGATAGGGATGCCTGGGTGGCTCAGCGGTTGAGTGTCTACCTTTGGCTCAGGTCATGATCCCCGGGGTCCTGGGATCAAGACTCTGCATTGGGCTCCCTGCATAGAGTCTGCTTCTCCCTCTGCCTAAGTCTCTGCCTCTCTGTGTGTCTCTCATGAATAAATAAATAAAATCTTAAAAAAAAAAAGAGGGCCATATCCCCTCATAAAATTCTGAGACAAGATTTATGTAAACATCGCCTCTTACTTTGTTTCTTTCTATACGGTGGAGTAAGTTCAAGTCTGTGGACTCTGATATACCACCATGGATGACCAGGATTTCATTGTCAATGATTGTACCAATTGGGAGCCAGGTATAGACATCTTCCAAGATTTGTAAGATTTTTTTTCCATGTATCTGTAAGTAAGAACTTGAGTAAGTTTTGTTTTTCTGGTAAATTCAAGTTTGTCACAAAAAGCGACAATTTTCATGCCACACAAAGGAAGTCAGCATGGAGTCACTAACCCATCAGCATGAATTAATGCTGTTCTTTTATTCTATGTTTGTCTATCTGTTTGTTTATTCTATATTTTCAATACTTTGACATTTTGGTGCCTTGCAGACCCTGGAGGAGAGATTGTTCCTCCCAGGGCTAGCTAATTCCTAAAAATTATAGATGATTTGCCTTTCATATGCAGATGAGAGTGCCTTTCACATGCAAACGAACCAATCCAGAGCCCACACTCCCAACCACCTCCTTTATCGGGCTTTGGCATGCCAGGCCACCATTCCCCCGCCTTAATCACCCCACAGCCAGGTACCCAGACAACTAATGACAGCCCTTATGTCCCAGAGAGCTCCTGAAATTGTTCAAACTAGCCAATCCTAAACCTACTTACACTGCCTCCACAGAAACCAAAACAAAGGCTCTTGCCCACATTTTCCCCTCTTTCCTTCTGCCTTCTGACCAATCCTGGTGCTTCCCACGGCCCACGGTGTGATGTGCTGTGCTAAGGCACAGTGAGTAAAAATCTCTTCCTTTACCATGGTCATTTCTGTATTTGTATGTCTTACCATAAAACAAATCCTGGGTACCTTTAAAACAATAGAATATGTTTTATCTGTGCTAAAACTTACACAAAAGTCACAATGAAAAGGCTTGGTTTAGTCCAGGAGGAAAATTAGGCCTCTATCACAGCCAGGGCTTCCTGCTGTGCTTTTATTTTACGTGTAAGGAGTCTGACTAGTTTACCCATCACTCTTCCTGAAGGCTCTTTTTTTGTAGTTCTAGCATAAACAGCAAAAAGAATGCGTTAAGAAAAAAAGTATGAATCTTACCTTGTATTTGTGCAAAATTTCTTTTGTGAAGCCATACCTGAAAAAAACAATTTTATTTAAACTAGTTAAATGCTGGTAACTTCTACTTAACGTGAGTCACGCCAAAAGAGGACCCATTGACATTTCACTATCACAAGTATCAAGAACTCAAGAAACTAGAGTTTAGTTGAAACTATTACTTACCTAACTCTTTGCTAGGCATGATGGAAAAGAACAAAAACAGCCAATGACATCATCCCTACTCGGAAGGAGCTTATAGTATAGTTGGAGAAAGAAGATAAATTTTCATGAAACAATTACAAGGCAACTTAAGAAATATGTGCTAGGTATAGGATGTGTGGATGCTGCAAGTACTCAGAGAAGTGTGCTGTGGCAGCTGGGGGAAGCTGTGTGGGAGAATGCTTTTCATGTAGATAGAATTTCTCAGACATCCTAAATCTTACAGTAAATGAATGAAGGCGCGGGAAGGGGTGATGGGGGAAGAGACTGAATAGAGACAAAGAAAAGCCTAGAAGACAACAAGTTGGCCCTTTATACTCTCCCTGATAGAGTTCATTTAATAGTGTTCAAGATTTTAATAGAAAGAGCCAGAAATTTTCATGCCTGAATAGCAATCACTAAGGGAGCTTTAACGATGGAAAATTTTTTTATTACTTTTCCTTGCCTTAGGGTAATAACACATATTCTTAAGGCCCAATATGGGGAAGTCAGAATATAGCATACTCATTCCAGGTTTCCATGCAAATCACATCACGTCAGGCTTCTACAATGTAATGTTATGTTTTCTGAGATTAATTCAGTCCTGCGCTCACCAGAGGTGTCTATGTTGTTAAATCCAATGGGCACCTTGCAGTCTTCATCTTTCTTGCCCTCTCTGAAGCACTAAATACGGTTGACTACATCATCCTTCTGGAAAACTTTTCTTCTCTTGGATTCTGTGACAATAAACCCTCTTGGTTTTCCTTGTATCTTTCTGGGTATTCTAAATCGCCTTTGCAAGTTTTCTCTGCCTAGCCTTGAAGGGTGGCATTCCTTCAGATTCTGTCCTAGGCCCTCTTCTCCCCTCCCTTTCTCTCTTGGCAACCTCATCCTTGCCTAGGGCTTTGGGTACTATCTATGTGCCAATATTGCAGGACAATGCTGCAGGCCACACTGTGGACACATACACTCAACTACCTACTCATAAGCACTTCAAATCACCTTACCTCAAAATGAACTTTACCATTCTCTCATCCCAACCTTTTCCTCTTATCATGTTCCCAATATCAGTGAGCAATGCCAATGTACTCCCAAATTCAAGCCAGGAACCTAGAGGTTATCTTTGATTCTGTCCTCTTTCAAGTCCCTCATATCACATTACTAAGCTTTAAGCCATCATTGCCTAAATTCCTCTTGAATCTGTCTACTTCTTTGGATCTCCATCCCTGTACCACCTTGATCTAGGCGAGAATCCATCATCTATCTCTTTACCTCCTAATTGGCCTCCCACATTCAAATATTCCTTCCTGCTGCATTTTAAAGCACAAATTTTATGATATTCTTCTATGATTATTTTTGATGTCCTTAGAAAAAAGTCCAAATTGCTTTGCACGATCCGACCATTTCTTATGTCTCCAGCCCTATTAGGGACCAACCTGTACCTCAGTCTGTGCTTCTACCCTCCTAAAATTCTTTCATATATAAAAAGTCTTGTCTCAGGCTCTGCATAAGTTGTTCCCTCACTGTAGAATACCATTTCTCACCCACCACCATGGCCCTCTCTGAATTGCCTAATTCATCCTCAGGTCTCAGGCTAATACCATAGTTCTATGAGAGAACCTTCTATTACCCCCCAGACAAGTTAGGTCCTCACTTTATAAGCTCATAACACTGTTCAACATAAGTCTTTCCTGCTAGATGTAAACTCTGTGAGGGCAGGGGCCATGTCTCCTTCATTAACTATTACAGACATTAGATAAATATGATTGGCTAATTAAATAAATGAAAGGATAAGTGGCATGCCAAAATAAAAGTATTAAGTTATATATTATATATAAGGGACATCTGATAACAGTCTGGAATTTTTTTTATCATAGTCTTAGCATCTGCTTCTATACCTGAAAATTAGAACTGAATGTCTATACTCATGCCGGGGGTGGGGTGAAACTGCCCCAAAGACAAAACTAATCAGTTGCTGAGCTTTATCAAGGCACCCAAAAACCTAGAACCAAAAGCATGAGACACGTCATGCCTTCTACTGCCCTAGAGCAAACTGGTAAAGGAGGGGTGAAAGAAGAAGAAAGAAGGGCAAGGGGAACATTTATCACTGACTGTGCCTTTCAGCAAAATTTGGGAAACCATTTAACCAATCTTTATTCCTCAAATCTCCAGTGAGTCAGATAGTTGAAATGCTATGTTACAGCTGTTCTCAAATATGTTTATGAACAACTATGCCAGAAGCAATCACTATGTCGTAAAAAATACACACATCAGTGAAAAACACAGTACTAGTTTCTGAGACAACATCTGAGGCAAGCCAAAAGAGTAGCAACAGAATGATCTCATCTGAGCCTGCTCATAAAACCTACCACACCCCCAAAGCTGGCCTAACACATCCACCCAGGAGACAATTTAGCCTGTGATGAGAGGCATGGGAGGAAGAGAAAGAACATAATAGAAGGGAGAAATAAGGAAAGAACTGGAAGAAAAGATAGGAAGAAGACTGAGTTGGTAAACAGAGGTAAGACTTGAAACACCCTTTGAGATTCTCCTCATCCCCACTTCTCTACACTCACCTCTAACTCTCTGCTAGGAATTAAACATAGCAGTATTTTTCAGTATGAGAAACAAAAAGAGGAAATCTAAAGGCCAAGGTTACCTCAGATTCATCATAAAATCTTCATGGTTCCCTCTGTTCAAGTGCAGGTCATTGGGGTAGACAAGAAAACTCACAAACAGGATCATTAGGATCTCTATGGAATGTTTTCCTCGATCTACAAAATCACCATTAAAAATATATGTGTTGCTCCCTGAGGGGAGACCATTCTGCAGAAGGAGGAGAGGGGGAAAAACAAGCAGTTAAAAGAATGTACTTTTAAAAGTAAGGCTTTGTACTCAATGTCCCTGCAAATATGGAGAAAAGAGGCTCAGTCAGTTCCTCCACTGAGAAAAATCTGCTCACTAACTTGAGCTGGTTTTACTCTGTCAGGGCAGGCATTTCCTGCAAGGGACCTTGGAAGTGAAACATTAGCTTGGATAGGAAGATTGGGGGGGGGGGGGATGGTGATTGCTCATTCTACTCATTACCTACTATGAGTTTTCTCTGAAAGGAGCTGATTTTTGTCCTATCAAAAATAGCTAACTTGGGCAGCCCAGGTGGCTCAGCAGTTTAGTGCCGCCTTCAGCCCAGGGCATGAACCTGGAGACCTGGGATCCAGTCCCATGTCAAGCTCCCTGAATGGAGCCTGCTTCTCTCTCTGCCTGTGTCTCTGCCTCTCTCTCTCTCTCATGAATAAATAAAATCTTAAAAAAAAAATAGCTAACCTTATCTCTTCCTTCTCCCTCGAAAGGAAGGAAATGTCCACCCAAGCAAGAACACTGAACCCAGCGCCAAAAGTCTTTCATTCTAAGAGGCCCAACATTTAACTTCTTTCGGTGGTGAATCCCTCAATTTACAAAAAAAGGGATGACACTATATCCACCCCCATCCCTGGATCAAACAAGTGAATGAATATGAAAATAACCAGCAAAGTGTAAGGTACCATGGGACTGTGAGCAGGGCTAATATAGTACCAGTACCCTCTGATACAATTGTACCAGGTGTTGGTAGCTGGCAGATATTGTGACTGCTCACTAACTAGGCCATATAAGTTGTTAAATATTTTGATTATCACTCCTGAGTATGAGATAATACTTTTAAATATAGTATAGTAGGAAAAAAGAATTGGGATCAGGACAAAGGTTTGGTCTTTATAACAGCTATTGATTCATTTACTTGTGTACTACTAAACTCTAAGACAAAACAAACATGCCAGACCCACCAGGCATATAATATCATGCCTGGTAGGGAATGGTCAAGTACATTTTTATTGCATAGTAAAATAAATTCAAATGTTTAAAAAATACATTACAAAGAGAAAAATTTAAACACTCATATATCCAAATGTATGTCCCCTTTCAAAAAAGTTACCTTCAAGAAATAAGTTACATTAATCGTTTTCAAACTATTTTCAAATTCTTTTTTAGATTTCAAACTACAAAAGAAAATCTTATTATCTTATATTCACCATTCTAGTAATTATATATATTTTAAATTATTCATATCAACATAGTAGAAATAGTTGAAAAAAATATATAATACAGGTTGCAACATATAACCCAGAGATTCCACAAATCATCATGCAATGTAACATTTTCCGAAGACAACTGGAAACAAACAAACAAGCAAGCAAGCAAGCAAGCAAGCAGTAGTACAGTGTTGTGGGCCAGATATAAGACTTATTTGCTAGTCCAGCTCCACTATTACCCATGTGTCCTTGGGTAAATTACTTAATCTTTATGAGCTGTAGTTCATGAGATAATAACTTCCATACTTAACATACAGGGCTATTTTGGAACTCGAATGAGACTGTATGTATAAAATTGCATGAACACCATGAAGCACCATATAAATTAGAAAATTCATTTTATTATGACCTCCATGTTTTTTCTAATTTTAAGATCCCATTATTTTATATTTTCTTAGACATTAATTCATGTAACTTTATCACATTGGACTTAAATAGTGTGAGCCAGTTGCAAAATATAGGCTATTGCTTATCAAAACTTAAAGAAATAAAGAAGGGTTCCACATCTCTGATACTCTTCCTTCCCTCAGCCTTCAGACGGCTGGGATGAGTAAACCAGAGGAATCTGAGGGATGTTAGAGGCTATAGACTTTCTTGGGATTCCAGGCCTGAAGGGGGCTAGAGGAGCAGCAGTACAGAGCTCTGGGGTCAGAACATGGAAGAAGTAGGCCTGAGGAGACCTGTTCACCCCTTGATTAAGGGGAGACCCTGACTCAAAGCATGAGTGTGGTCCTGGTTTGGGGGAGAGGGAGCTGGATCTTACTAGAAGTGTAGGGAACTACTTCTGTATTTCTGAAGCTAATAGAAAACTAACATTTGCATCTAGAGATACCTAGGAACATAGAGACTTCCTCTCATACTCTTGATGTAGGAGTAGCAACTGTTGTGCCTTTATAGAGAGGCTTAATCTAGCTTAAGCAGAGAATAGAAAATGAAAATAACCTAGTATTCAAGGGGATCTAGTAAACAGAGAGAGGCAGACCAATCAGATCTGCTAAAGTTCTATCCCCTAATGAGGTAGAATTATTGGAGGACAATTTTATTTAAAAAATGAGAGGACCATAAGATAAAGAACAAAAAGTTAATAATTCTTGGCATTTAGTGTGTTATTCAAATTTAAAATAGCAATAGATTAGAGCTAATTTAAAAAGTGATTGGAAAATACATTATTGACCTGGAAGAGCAAACAGATGAAAAATCTCTCACACAGATTATAAAGCAAAATGATGGAAATCATAAGGAATGAGTAAGAAATTAGAGTTCAGAGCCAAGAAAGCTAATATGCCAATAATCATTCCAGAATCAGGAAAAAGGAACAGATGGAGAAGAGGTAATAATTACATAAATAAGAGGGAGATTTCTATGATTAAAAAGAGACTTCAGCCTGAAGTTTGAAAGAGTTCCCGAATCCTATGCACAATTGATAGGTGGAAAAATACCCCTATTACCTAAGTCTTAGAAACTGCTAGACAGAAAGAGCAAGTTACAAAGGGAAAAGAATCATCCTGGCATTAGAATTCTAAGATGCAGTAGTGGGAGGTAGAAGATAGTTTAATAAATCTACAAATTAAAGAGAGAAAAGGCCGATGAGCCAAGAATTCTATATTGGCCAAAACATCATTAACTTCTTAGGGTGATAGATAATATTTGCAGATATGTAAAGGATCCAATACCAGCAACAACATAGATGATCATCAGGGTGAAAGAAAGACATATGTGAGTATGTAGTGATCTAACACCACAAAAGCAATGAACACGTATTGAATGCTTGTTATATGCTAGACACAGTTTTAAGTGCTAGGAAGACAGAAATAAATAACACGAAGTCCCTGCATTCAAGGAGTGTGCATTCAGAGAATGTAGCACCTTCATGTCCCATAGAGGAAAACACTCAAGAAAATATTCTAACGAAATAACAGCTAGGGAAAGACCCAAGAGGAAAGAATATAGAATACAGATGTGAACAATGAACAATGAACCTTCCAATATATAATTAAACTTAAATATAAATCAATAGTGATGGGGCACCTGGGTGGCTCACTGGTTGAGCATCTGCCTTTGGCTCAGGTCATGATCCCAGGGTCCTGGGATTGATGGAGTCCGGCATCAGGCTCCCCAGGGGGAGCCTGCCTCTCCCTCTGTCTATGTTTCTGCCTCTCTCTGTGTCTTTCATGAATAAATAAATAAAATCTTTTAAAAAATCAATAGTGATTATGTGGAACTTGTATTTAAGTACTAAGCAAGGCTTCTAGAAATAGAAGAGACATACTATGAAGAAAAACCTAATAATGGTCAAGAACTAAAAATATGGCATGTGGAGTAACTAGAATTTATAGGGGAGGTTAGGGGAGAAAAGCAAATTCTCCACAAATTTCATCTCAATGGGGGACATATATGGAAAGTGTGAAAATAAATACATTTATCTTACTGCAGGAGAGAGAGGATAATGGTGGAAGAATAAAGTTATAGCTGTTTGAGAAATATACACATACATTACTTATCAGAAAGGTCAGGAATGGGAAGAGAACCACCAATGAATGGAAAAGCACAGTAAAAACACCAAAGAAAACAATAAGGAAAACTTCACCAAAACAGCAAAAAGAAGAGGGAGAAGATGAAACAAAGTGAAGTAAATAGTAAGCAAAGTAAAATAGAAGAAAAATTTTCAAAAATATCTGTTGTTATACTATATGTGATTGGGTAAATTCTCCCATTAAAATAACAAGATCACTAGACTACATGAAAATACAAAACTCAGTTATACATAGTTTGTGAGAAATACACATTAAAAAATAGGTAAAGAGAGGTTGAAAACAAGGTAAATACAACAAAGAGAAAACAAAAATGTAAATATTGATACTAGACAGTGGAATTTAAGATTAAAAGTGCTAAACATGATCACAAAGCAACCATACATAATAAAACACACTTATGAAGAAGATATAATTCATGAACTTGTAATCAATAAACAAAAGTACAATTTTTTGCTTCATATATTTAACTACTATAGATGCAAGAAGAAACTTTAAAAATACCAACACAAATGCAAAATTCAGATTAAATTATTGGTTCAAAATAATGACTACAAATTCTTGACACTCCCTTTAAAGGTGAAGCCTAATTTGCCTCTTCTCAGATGTGGGTTGGATTTAGTGATTTGTTTCTAATGAATTAAAAAAAGAAAAAAGCAGGAGTGATAATGTGCAACTTTGGAGACTAAGTCATAAGAGACACTGCAGCTTCCTGCCTGCTCTCTCTTCTGCATCCCTCGCTCTGGGGAAAGCCAGCTGCTATGTCATGAGACTACCCAAGTACCCTATAGAGAGGCCCATGTGGCTGTTCTGCCAATAACCAGTGAGGAACCGAAATGCTGAGCCTGCAGCCAGGTGAGTTAGCAATCTTGGAAATGGGTCCTTGAGCCCCAGTCAACCTTTCAGATGACTGCAGCTCTGGTCAATAGTTTGACTGCCACTTCAGGAGAGACCCTAAGCCAAAACCATTCAGCTAAGCTGCACTCAAATTTCTGACCCACAGAAACTGGGAGATACTAAATGTTTCTAGTTTTAAACCACTAAGTTAAAAAAATAAATAAATAAAAATTTAAAAAGATAAAATAAAATAAATAAACCACTAAGTATTGGGGTAACTTGTTACACAGAAATATATAATATACATATTTAGACAGATGTATCAGAAACT